GTATGGTAACAATGCTCGTGAAAGGTAATAATTGATTAATTAATCCTACTAAAGAATTAAGTAGTCATGATGCCTTGCTAGAGGCCAATCTTGATTTTTGTATCAAGAGATACATTACCAACATATCTAGGAGCCTATTGAGTTACATGTATAAGTTTAAGCATTCACATTATTAAAGTTAAGCAAAGATATTGGAAAAGATTTTTGATTTTGAAACTTTCCTATTTTGGAAAAGGTTTCCAAAATGGAAAGTTTCCTCAAATGCAATTTCCATAAAATGGAAAATTCCGTAAAATGGAAAATTTGCAATGTTAGAAATCATTTTCCTAATTTGGAAGTAAATAACCTAAAATGGAAACAAATTTCCTAATTTACATTAAAGAGTATTTTGAGAAATTGTTTCCTAATGTGGGCCACTCGAAATTATCTAAGATTATTTATTTGAGTAGTCTAAATAAATTAATTAGGTCATAATGGTTATAGCCTAATAGGTTTAATTAAAAAGCCCTAAGATATTTTTTTGCGATGATAAACGTTAAACTTATTGGATAAGGATTAATGTTTAAAGGATAAACATCAAAAGCTCACATGTAAAATAACTCCTAATCCTTTCGAGGATTAGGAAGCAATGACCATAAGCCCAATTAGGACTTATTTGTCGCCATTTTCCTTGTCCTTAGAGGATATGAAAACTCACCCCTAATAAATAGGAGGAGAGGTGCGGCATAAATAAAAGTTCTTTTAGAGAGAGAGAATTCGACCAACAAAGAAAAATAAAAGGGTGAAGGCCTATGGCTAAGGAAAAAAAATGGAAATTTTATTTTTTCCCAAAAACCCTAGCACGCCACCCTCTCTCCCTCTTCTCTTAGGTCGTCGCAAAATTGCTCGGATTAGATTTCTATAGGAAACACTACATAAATCAAAATAGGTGAAGCTAGCATTTTATCAATTTTCGAGCTTCTTTATGGGTGTTTGGATGCATGGATCACCAATAAAGGCCGGACACTTAGATGGCTTTTTTGCCAAAGAATTTAGATCTATGTTACAAGAGGTAATTCTTAATTCATTACTTTAATTCATATATATATATATATATATATATATATATATATATATATATATATAGTTAGTTAGTTAGTTGATTCAACGACATGACCTTAGGCCCTTTAGATGGTGAAAATGTTTTACTTATTCTACATCTCCATCGGATGCATGATTCTTCAATTGGTATCGAGCATTTGTTGAATCTTTGATTATATATTATGTTAATTATAATTAACTATGTCCGATTATAAATCTAGTATTTTTAGTAATTTATATTAATTTAAAACAAAAATTTTGGTTAAAAATAATGGGGCGCGCGAGGTTGATCGATGCTTGCACGAATTAAAAAAATTCCACTGGTTGGTCTCGCTCTAGGCAACGACGAGGCTAGGCCAATCTCGTGCTATGCAAACGACGAGCCGGACACTACTTACCAAGCCGTGCCTAAAGCACGCGAGCTTGGTGTTGTGTGCTAGCTCGCGCACAAGACGCCGGCTAAGCATCCATGTGTTAGGTGCACACGAGGCACGTAGGCTAGGCGCCCACATACAAAGCATGCCAAGCCGGAAGACTAGGCACATAGGTCAAGCACCTATACACAATGCATGCCGGACTAGGCATGTAGGTCAAGCGCCCACATGCAAAGCATGCCAAGCCCGTAAACTAGGCAAATAGGTCAAGCACCTATATGCAATGATTGCTAGACCCGTAGGCCTAGTACGAGCATGCCGAGCCATAGGCTAGACATGTGAGGCCACTAGCCAAACATTCGTGCACTAGGCTACTAGGCATGGGTAGGTGTGCACTAACACACCAAGCCGAGGGCTTGGATGTCGAAACCAATGGTCCCAAGGCCCAAAAAGTTTTAAAATTATAATTTAGAGAAATTTTGATAAATTTATAAAATGACCAAAAACATAGATTTGTAATTATTTTATTAATGAAATGTGTTTTATTACTATGCCATGTATTAATGTGATTGAAGCATGGGTGAATGGTATGGATGAGTCGATCTAGATTTATGGAATGGATGTTTATTGTATTTCTCTCCTCATCTTACTCCCCTTGAATGTAACTTAAGATTTCTTATTCAAATAAATTTAAAAGTAAAAGATAGGAATTAGAATTGGTGCAAGGAGAAGATGCCAAAAAATTAAGACATTCGTGAAGAATTTATAATAATTTTTCACCTAGGAATTTAACCCATTAGCCTCTCGTATGGCTTGAGGGGGTAGTATTAGAGATCCATTATCATTCACCAATCCTTTGTCTCATGCATGAGATGTATGTGTATCATGTGATTAATTTTAGTATTCATTTTAGGAATAATATGATTATTGATTAGTATGCATGGTAAGATGAAATCAACTAAATTAAATCTTTCAAATAAAATATTAAGTTAATTGCCTTCTAACATTATAAAGAGGAAACTCTCTCGGTTGTTGTTGGCTTATTAAAATAACTTAAGGTCACTTCTTCCTCAAGCAAAACATATCATGGTTTATGCAATGTCCCTAAACGTTGGATCTAACTTAAATAAAGTTGTTAGATTTGTTGAGATAACTCAAGGTCCAATAAACTTGTAGGCAAGAATTAGTATTCACATAAGATGTGATATGACAAGGAGTTGTTATCCCAATGAGATTAAGAATTACATTAGATATAATTGATAAGGAGTTATCTATCTAATCATTCATGTATGGCTTGTTGAGATAACTCAAAATTAATGCATGTTAGAGGATAGGATCCTAACCCACTTAGAAAATGAATTGAAAAGTTTTATTGAGTCCTATATTAAAGGTTATAGAATTTGAAGAAAATAGTGAGAATGAATATAGATTTTACTTCTTTGATTTATGATTTTTTTATGCAATTTAATTAACCAAACCGTACATTTTTCATCTTATCAGATTGCATAGTAAGATTAGCAACACTTCGATAAGATTGATAATTGATAAAAGTAATGCCTTCAATGGTATAAACTTTCTCAACTAGGAAATGAATTTGAGGATAGACCTCCAATGTGAGAAAATTCTCTATAAGAAAGCTCTCTTAGTTAAGCCTCTTTAGGAACTAGCTAAAGCTCATATATGTCGACGTCGGCCATCGCGAGAGGAGGGGCCAAATCAAAGGAGTCGCCACCTAGCTAATCGGGTAGAACTAGGAAACCCTAAACATACCGGTCTACATGGATATCCGGATAAGGGGTCGGTTATGCATGGAGAAGACATGTCATTACCACCATCCCATCCTACCTAAGGTAGGCTGCATCGTTTGTCTATGAATGTAAAAATCTAGTTTTTATCATGTTATGTTTTTATGCCTATTAAATGAGTTTATCTTGTAAAAATATGGGATAGGATGGCTTGGATATAAAACGGGATAGTTTGGACGTTCAAGCCTCGTCCAAGGCCAATATGTCCTACCCAAATGGAAAATAGGTAAAAAATGAGAATTTCGGCTAGTCATTAGAGAACATGACCTATTATTAGCAATAGGTAAGTTTTTAAAGATAAATAGCCTTTTATTGACATGAGCTACGAGTCATCGATGACTTCGCTCACATAAGTGGGAAGCCACCGACGACTTCGAGTCACGCATTTAAGAAGCTATCGACAACTTTGACACGAAGTGAGAATTCATTGACAACTTCATGTCACTCCAGTGAGGAGAAGATAATTATTTAGAAGCCACCGACGACTTCGTCACATAAGTGGGAAGCCACCGACGGCTTCATTGTAGACAAGACAGACATTAAATGAAAAAAAAACTATTTTTGAGGCCATTGGTGGGTTTGTTTTGATGAAATAAATCGAGAAAAATGGAAAACAAGTAACAAGGACTAAAAGCAAAAAAAGCAAGGAAAACAAGCATTACAAAACAGGAATCGAGCATAGAAATCGATAAAATTGCTCCAAAGCCCTCCGACGACTTCGTCACATAAGTAGGAAGCCACCGACGGCTTCATTTTGATGACAATCAATCATAGATAGACAATTAAATCACAAGACTTCACATTTGGACAACTAAGCATGCAAACCGAAAAGCAAATTAATTTGTCTTTTGATATCGACTACATACAAGCAATGCTTATTTCAATCACATTTAGACTATGGCTATTCAAACAAAATACAACGACTTTATTCACATAAACCAATAGTCAAATCATTTTTAATAATTTGTCATTTTTTTTTTTTGGAAAATATGCAATGGTTTTAGAGTTTTACCCAAGAGCTCTAAAACTTCCATGTCCGAAACAAAATCAGTTGTACTCTCTTCAATCCCAATGAAAATTGATTGTTCGGTTAGTCGAGAAAGGAGAGTAATTATCCAAAAGTTCCTCCGTTACTTGTGCAACTACTCTAAATGTTGATAAAAAATTTACGAGGGCTCCCGAAATCTTGTAAGATTTCCTAAAAATCCAAAATGACTTTCTTATCGTATTTTCCTATCAAAACCCAAAGAAATGCAGTCCACAACATCATGTTGTTCTCGCCAATATAATCCAAGACAAAAAAAAAGAAAAAACCATCTTGTCCCTTTAAATTTTTTTTTGCTCTTATTTCTTATTTTTAGGAGCTCCAAATAAGTCTGCAAAGGGTCGTTTTGAGGAAGGTTTTGTGATCTGTCTTGGTGGCTGTTTTGGGGAATTTTTGGCACTATTTTGAAGCTTATTTGAAGGTCTTTTTAGGGCTGGTTTGGTGGTTTAAATAGGCTATCTAAAGGGGTTGATCTGTAAAGGTTTTTAGGGGTCGTTGGTAATGGTTACGAGGCTGATTTTTTGGTGTTTTAGTAGGTTTTTCGGGTTTATTTAGGGTTGGTTTTGGGGCTGATTTTGGGGCTACTTTTGAGAGTGTTTTGGGGCTAATCTAAAGCTGCCTTGGGAGTATTTTATGGCTTTTTTGGATGAGGGAGAAGTCGGCTAAAAGGGGGCTGTAGGAAAGCCGTTCGGAGGGCTATTTTTGGTCGGTATTGGGTGTGTTTATGGACGGTCCGATGTTGGGGTGTGAGGCAAAAGGGAGAGTTTGACCAAGACCGGTGCAGGCGTGAGGTAGGCTCGAAAGGGCTGTAGCCATGCTTGTGGGTGCCGACTTGGGAGAGGGCATGTGTGAGGCAATAGAGGATTGGCTAAGCGCACGAGTGAGGCTTGGGCTATAGCATGACCAGCGAAGGCTTGTGTGGGAGAAGGATGAGGCTCGTGGTGTCCATGTGAGGTTGTTGTAAGGGAGAAGGGTGTTGGTATGGTAATGGCCGTAGGTGAGGGGCGAGAGGGTTGTGATGGAGCCGTGGGTGAGGAGGTGGCGTGTAGGGGTACGAGTAAGAGGGAGAGAGCGAGTTAGTTGGTGGTCGATGATAGGGAGTCGGTGTGGGAGCTTTGGTCCGCGTTTTTCTCGCGACCGCCGCATGTGGGTTCCGTTTATGAGAATGAATAGTGTTAGGTATAAAAAAAATACATGGGGTGGGCTAAATATCGGTTCGGTCCTTGGTTTCTTCTCATGCATTAATTTCGAGTTGATTTTTCTTTTTTTTTAATTTGAGCCCCCTTGTAACTAATTGAGACTTTTATTTTAATTTGTCCCAATCATGCCCCTTTATTGTTGTAATTGAAGGACTTCTCTTTCTTAAGATTTTGGAGCTCGTGAAGCATATGTTAAACATTTAAATTGAGACAAGTTTGAGCCTAAATCGAGTAAAATTAAATTTGTAGGATATCCAAAAGAAACAAATGGATATTACTTTAACCAACCAAAAAACCAAAAAATGTTTGTAGCTAGGCATGTTATATTTCTTAAGAAAAAATTTATAGATGCTAGAACCGGTGGGAGGAAGGTTGAACTCGATGAGATTCAAGAAGACTCATAAATTCAAACTCCACTAAAGGAACCCCAAGTAAAAAAGTTACAAAGCGTTGTAACTATCCCATAAACCAATAAACAAGAACTTTATAGGCAAAAGGATTTGTCAAGAGCCGGAAAGATATGGGCATCTAGACTCAACGCATGAAGATGTGTTTGTCATATGAGACAACAAACATAATGCCTACGAAAAAGCAATGTTAGACATTGACTCTAAAAAATGGCATGAGGCCATGAAATTTGAAATGGAATCCATGTTCATCGATCAAGTTTGGACTTTGGTTAATCCTATTGAGGTTTATTGGGTGTAGGTGGGTCTTTAAAAAAAAGATCGACATAGATGGATATGTACATATGTATAAAGTCGATCTGCTAGCAAAAGGATATCATCAAAAACAAGGTGTTGATTATGACAAAACTTTTTCACCGAGTAGCAATGGTCAAATCAAGTCGGATTATGCTTGTAATTACCACATATCATGATTATGAGATATAGCAGATGGATGTCAAAACTACTTTCCTTAATGAAAAATTAAATGAGGATGTGTACATTATACTACTTGATGGTTTTGTCCCCAAATGACATGCAAATAAGATTTGAAAATTGCAAAGGTCCATTTATTGACTTAAGTAAGCATCTAGGAGTTGGAATTAATATTTTGATGAAACGATCAAAGAGTTTTATTTTTCACAAAATGAAGATGAACCTTGTGTATATAAGAAGGTTAGTGAGAGCTCAATTATTTTTGTTGTGCTATATATAGATGATATAATACTTATTGGCAACAATACCACCAAGTTGCAATTTGTAAAAAATTGGTTATCTAAGAATTTCTCCATGAAAGACATGAGAGAGGCAACTTACCTTTTAGGAATCAAGATTTATAGAGATAAGTCACGAAGAATGTTAGCTCTCTCCCAAAGCATGCACATTGATAAAATACTAAAGAGGTTTAGTATAGAAGAGTCCTATAGAAGACTTATTCCAATGTCACATGGCATAAAAATTTCCAAGGCCGAGTATCCTAACACACAAAATGAAAGAGAAAAGATGATTCATATTCCCCGTATGTTGGCCATAGGATCTATCATATATGTCATATTATGTGGTCAATTTGATGTCCTATATGCTTTGAGTATATGTAGTATATATCAAGCTGATTGGGGTGAAAAACATTAGATTGCTATGAAGAGCATTCTAAAGTACTTATAAAGAACTAAGGGTGCCTTTCTAATCTATAAATGAGATGAACTAGTAATGAAAGGGTTCACAGATACTAGTTTTTAATCCAACCATGACAACTTTAAATCATAGTCAAGATTCATTTTTTAGTTGAACGATAGAGCTATTAGTTGGAAAGGTTCCAAGTAAGAAACAATAGTCGACTAAACAATCAAGGTTAAATATATTACGGCCACAAAAGTAGCTAAGGAGGTCTGTTTGGATTCATAAATTTTTTATTTGGACTACAACTGGTTTCAAGCATTATTGATCCAATAGTCTTATACTATGATAATGACGAGTTATAAACAAGCTAAGGAACGAAGGTCTCATCAATGGTCCCAGCATGTATTACGATGTTACCATCTAATTAGAGAGATCATTAGTCATGGCAAAAAAAAGGATAGAACGGGTCCACACTAATGACAATATAGCTTACCCCTTCACTAAGCCTTTTTCACAATCGAAACATGAAACCCTCACTCTATCATCGACCTTAAGGGACATGGCTAGTTGGCTATAATGTAAGTGGGAGACTATTAGTGTAGGTGCCTAAGATCCAACCATGTTTAGATAGGTTTGAGTTATTTTATTATTGCATCATTTATTTTAATAATAATAAAGAAGTCTTTCTATAAACTCTTATGTTTTTTTTTTTGTTAATTCAATAAAATTAGATAGAAGTTTTAATGATATGCATTTGCAATAGTGATTGATCAAAAGATGTGAGATAAACATTAATGCATATAAATGACATCATTAAACATCTTAAGTCCTAGCATTGTCAAAAATGAACGTTGACTATATATGGATAAACTTGTGAGTGCCATACTTATGCTATATGATAATAGTAGGAGATCTCACACCTACTAGCATGGTGATGCCAAAGTAAGCACTTAGGTGATTTATGTTACTGAACATATCATTGGACTTGACTTCCCATGAGAACCCATTTGGTTTAGTCTATGAGAATCTCATATGAGATCGATACAACTAGTCCTTAGACTTGAAGTCATCACGGTTATGTCATTAGAAGATTTATGCATTTTGGCACTCGTTTTGATTAACTCAATAAAGGGTTGCATGTGGATGATTCATTGGGTGTACTAGGAATCTAATGGAGGTAGGTGTATGACTAAGATTGGGCATGTCATTCCTTAAACACTAAAGGAGTTATCACTTACCCTTCAATGAATGTTTGCTCGAGAAATATGTGACCATAGTGGGAGTACACTAATAAAGTATAGTTGGTTTACTCTAAAAGCTAAGACATTTGAGAATCAAAGAAAACTTATGTGATCATAATCGAACAAGACTAACAACCAAGTTTGAGATCACACTCGTGATAAGTTGACATAAGGACTTAATTATATGGTAACCCTACTCATGAAAGATGATAATGGATTAATTAATCCTCCTAGAGAATTCGGTAGTCATGATGCCTTGCTAGAGGCCAATCTTGATTTATGTATCAAGAGATAAAAAAAGAGTCTTTTGTTCTTGATACATTACTAACATATTTAGGAGCCTATTGAGTCATAAGCATAAGTTTAGGTATTGACATGATTAAAGAGAAGCAAAGATATTGAAAAAAAATTTCAATTTTGAAAGTTTCCTATTTTGGAAATGATTTTCGAAAATGGAAAGTTTTCTTCAATGAAAAGTTTTCTTAAATGAAAGTTTTCCATAATGAAAAGTTTTTCATTTTAGAAATCAGTTTCCTAATTTGGAAGTTAGTTCAAAAGTTGAAACTAAATAGCCTAAAATATAAATGGGTTTTCTAATTTAGATTAAAGGGTATTTTGAGAAATTATTTTCTAATGTGGGGTGTTGAAAATTATCTAAGATTTTTTATTTGGATAGTCTAAAAAATTAATTGGGCTAGAATGGTTTTAGCCTAGTAAGTTCAAATTAAAAGCCTTAAGATATTTTGATGGGAGGATAAACATCAACCTTATTTGGTAAGGATGAATGTTTTAAAGATAAGGATCAAAAGCCCACATATAAACTAACCCCTAATCCTCAAAGGATTTTGAAGCAACAACCATAAGTCAACTTAGGACTTATTTGTCTGCCTCTCTTCTTGTCCTTGGAGGAAAAGGAAACTCTCTCCCTATAAATAGGAGGAGAAGTGCTGCATAAAGAGAAGTTTTTTAAGGGGAGAGAAAATTTGACACACTAAGAAAAAAAGGACATGCGATCGAAATAAAAATTAGAAGAAAATTATTTTCTTCCTAACCCTAGCATGGCACTTCCTCTCTCTTCTCTTTGGGTTGTCATAAACTTGCTCGGATTAGATTTCTATAGAAAATACTACATAACTCAAAAAAGGTGGAGCTAGCACTCGACCAATTTTGAGTGTTTTTTTGTGGGTGCTTAGACTACATGAATCATCAATAGAGGCCAGGCACTTGGATGCCTTTTCTCGCCAAAGAATTTAGATCCGTGCTATAAGAGATATTTCCTTATTCATTGCTTTAATTCATGCATAAATAATTAGTTGATTCAATTACATGATTTTTTGCCTATTATATGGAGGAATTGTTTTTTTTTTTTTTTTTTTTTTGCTCCTCCATAAGATGAATGATCCTTCACCCATATCACCTTAAGAAAGTAACCTAGTTCTCGCTTCAAGTCCATCACCTAAAAATCTTGGAAAAGCTATATTGATTGTTTGGTAATCTTTATACCATAAAATGTCATAATGTGATTTTAACCCCTAATTTTTCTAATGATTAAAGTAAAAAGTTTCAATCTTTGATCGATTTTATTTTATATTAAATTTATTTATTTATTGTATGAATTTCATTATTTCATTATGTTTCTAATAATTTGAGAAGATGCTTATTTCTATGATTTAATGATTAAATAATGAAAAAAAATCTTGGCATGAATTTGTAGGTTATATTTGTATAATGTTAATGCCAATACATGCCAATTGTTTGGTTTTTTATTATCATGAATTAATTGGTATTTGGTGATTATGTTTAAAAGCAAGTATTAAAATAACAATATTGATAATAATTTGCATGACAAAGATATTGATCCATAATATTTTGGTAACCTACAATGACCTATCAAATATTAATATTCACTAAACAAATAGTGATATTATTGAAAATTTATATTTACGATTGTTGATTTATTTTGTAAATTTTATTATTGATACAAATATAAATAAATTGATAATTAGTTTATATATTTATTTATATTGATCAATTATAATTTGACATTAAATTTTTTTGTTATGCTCATGTCATGTATCGAGAAAATATATTCAATATTTTTATACGGATATATTGATCATCATGGACGTAAAGTCAAAGTA